AGAAGAAGATGCAGCAACTAGAGAACGACTTGGACCAGGTTCAGGAGTCGCTGCTTACCGCTAATAACCAGCTGGAGGACAAGGACAAAGCTCTCTCTAACGTAAGTGGTTTCACCTTGGGCGCGCTCCTTCGCCCATTAATCTTAATAGTTTTATCCTAGGCTGAGGACGAGGTGAACAAACTCCAGAAGAAATTGCAGCAGGTGGAAAACGATTTTGATCAGGTTCAGGAGGCGCTCCTCTTGGCTAATAACAACGCCGTCGAGAAGGACAAGGCCCTGTCCAATGTAAGTTGGTAGACGGAGGTCACACCCCGTATACTCATTCCCTTACGTTTCTCCTAGACCGAGGAGGAGATTCGCATCACGCATAAGAAGATGCAGCAGGTGGAGAATGAACTGGACCAGGTTCAGGAGCAGCTCTCTCTGGCTAATACTAAGCTTGAGGAAAAAGAAAAGGCTTTGCAGAATGTAAGTAGGGACGATGTCAGCTGCTGCCGCCGCTGCTGATCAACGCTTATTCACGCTATTTTTTTCTTTTCTTTTCTCGTCTTTGTGTGCCAATTACCTAGTCCGAGGAGGAGGTTCACAACCTTCAGAAGAGGATGCAACAACTTGAGAACGACCTTGACCAGGTGCAGGAATCGCTGCTGAAGGCAAACACCCAACTGGAAGAGAAGGACAAGGCTCTCTCTAACGTAAGTGGGGCTAGTCCCAGCACCGTGGCTGGGGCACCAAGCCCTCACAACCCCCAGCTTGCCCGTCCACAAGCTACTAATCGACAGTCTCGCGTAGGGCTGTGCATGAACCTCTACAAAACAGCCCACTTTAGCCTCCATTATGCACAGTGGTGCCGAAAGAGGATTAATGTCCTACCCCCCAAAAGCCTTAGTGCCCAGAACCTAAAAATGAGTATGTTCTTCCAATCAACACGCGCCTTCTTCCGTGACTGTCCTTTTCGAGGTGGGCAGTGCCCTTTTCTCGGGGTACTGACCACCACTACCACCAACCACCACAACCACCACCATCATCGACGTGTATCCCAACCACTCCGGTTTAAATGCCCTTCCAGTTCAGTCAACCAACTCCTCTGGTTGAGTAAGAAGCACGAGACCCTGGCCGCCTCACAGATAGGTTCAACTAACCTTAACCTATAACCTCAAGGACTATTTTTTAAAACAAAGTCGCCCCCAACATGGAACATCTTTCGTTTACATCATGTTAGATCGATGTCCCAATACAAATATAAACTCACTTTTTCATCCCTCCATACAAACAGGCCGAATACATCATTTTGATTCTTAAATATAATTAATTTTGACACCAGCCTGTTATGTATAGAGTTTTCTCCTCGCAGTTTTACCGTTTTATTACATCACATTAAATAACAAAAATGAGACAGTTGCCTCATATATACCAAAGTATTTTTTTATTAATTAAGAGAATTTGATATTTTTGCTTAAATTACAATTTTTTTACTGCTCTAGATTGACCATTATAGTCAGTCTTCGCCGACAAGACTGACTTAACTGATAGACTGACTATTCCTTCTGCATCAGGAAGTAGTCTCGGCAACCTTTATTACGCCATTTCACAACCCCCCCCCCCCCTTCTCTAGCACTTCAACCAACCGCGTGATATTTCCCTTACCACCCATCACGTGACACCCCCTTCCCCTGGTAGAATGAATGATATCCAGGGGTATTCTCAAGCACACGTGACTCATATAGTAAACCACGTGATCCGTATATTTCCTTAATTAAGTGCGTGACTCCTTGTACAATCTCTAGATGTCCCGTGACTTCCTACATATTCCTAGTAGACCACGTGACACCATGTATAGTTTACCGAGTCAAATATGTCACGTAGCTCCTTGCAGTTACTTAGAGACCCTTACGCACGTAGTTCCCTGTAAATTCACCTAGTATATCAGAGTACTCCTAGTTTAGCACTTGACGTGATGCCCTATACACCCCCTAGAAGTCCCTAGTAAACCAAATGACTCCCACCATATACATTTTTTAAGCCGGTAGTCAACATCCAGCAGAGGTTTTGCTGTAGTGTTAAGGATGTGTAAGCCTTGGTCATACTAGGCTGCCGACACTGGCTATTTTGGACATCTTATCCGTCAAAGTCCCCAGTCCTCCTTTCTCTCTCTCTCATTATTTAGTGTGTCCTATCCTTTTAGTTTCTTTTCCATTTAGCTTGTTTCATTTGTCTTCTTATACTAGAGCATTACTAAACCATAACGGAGTCGTCTTGGTACCGCTAAAATATATTATGATTTATATGTTTACACCGAGACGCTCTTTATTATTTACGTGGTGTAACTCACTTGACTAACGCAATCGCCAGGGTCCGTTTGAAACATCTTCAGCGAACATCAAGATCAACGCACGATATTTACTGGTTATTTTCACCCATCGGATTTTCCCCGCCGTCGCCGCGATCACAGGTGAATATTAAAAATAAACATTAACTAAAATAATATATCAGTCATAATCATAATAACAAATAATTTAATAGTTAATTTAAAATTATCATCGTCTAATTAAACCTGTGTCGTCCCGAGGTTAACTCCCCAAGTTAACATCACCATCCTGTCTGTAACTCAACAGGCGCCCATTACCATCACCATCCTACAGCAAAACTTTCACCATTATCAGCACCATCAATACCACCATAATCTTCTTAGACTATGGCAGCTACACCATCATCAGACAGCACTACTATCACCATCACCACGTCAACACCATACAGCTTTTACTCCCACCACCAGCCAACACCATAATCTTCTCCAGGCTGTGACGCCGCTAGCTGTTGTCTAAAAAAATTATACTCTCATAACGGCTTTTCTTTCTCTTTCAGCTACTAATGGTGTAAACAAGATAACAAACAGATTTACGTGCATTTTTTTACTCATTATTATTTTGTTTTCGTTTCTTTTATTTCATGTTTGTTTATTTAGACTTTGGGCTTTACGTCCTAACAACAATGCATGGCAACAGTCCCTCGGTCAAGAAGTCATTAATTAATTCAATAATTCAGATCTGCTTTAAAATGTTGCTTATTTTAGTTCTGGCTTCCATGTTTAATATTAATCATTTCTGTTTGTCATGTCAATTAATAATAAAAAAAGAACACGAGATTACTGACAACTTTTAAACTAAAAAAAAATTACTGCAACTTTATAACCTATCATGACTAACTGAAATGGGAAGAATATCAACCAATCAACAAAGAGCATCAAGAGCCAGCCAGCCAATCAGGAAGGAGGTCAAAAACCACCTGGACTAAAGTGACCAATGGGAACGCCGCCTGGGTGAGTGTTGATTCTGTTTTGGGTCTGTTCTAAACCTGTTTTAATCAGGGTTAGAACAAACCTTCTGTACTCTGGTCTACCGCAATGATGGTTCAGGATAGACGATATACAGGATAGCGAATTGAAAGGATGGATAAAGTTTACATAAAGAATGGATAAAATAAGGTAATTTAAAGGATGGATAGAGTAAAAAATAATAATTAAAGGGAGATAAAATATGGAAAATGTATAAACAGGATGGACATAAATAAAGGTAATTTAAAGGATCAATAGAACTAAGTCTATTTAAAAACTGATTGAAAAAGAATAGGCCTAAATTAAGTACAGGATAGAGGCAGTAAGCGGGATGTTTACTTACTGGATGGATAGTAATGAAAAAAAATCACAATAAAGGGATGGACAGAAAGAATAAAATAAAAAATAATAGACAGAACAGAGAGAGATAAAACGTCACTTACAAGCTGACCCGCAAAAAATAGGTCAAGTTAGGTTTAGTTAGATACACATAAGAGTGAATAATACTTAACGGTTAAAGCGGGAGAAAAGTTTATTAAGATGAAAAAATATTAAAAAAAATACATATAAGGGACGAGTAATTTTTTCAGTCTTAATTTTGGACGAAAAGACGAGGAAACTTGTTCCATGTCCAAGAGAGGGGGAGGGGGGTTTACAGGATGAGCAACAAAAATCAGGAAAATATCACAGGATAAACATAAATAATAAAGAGGAATTTTCTACAGAATAGAAGTAAAAAATAGAGAGAAATTCTTTGGATGTCTAAGATAAAAGAAGTAATTGTGGCGTGAACAAAGAAAATACGTAAATCTAAGAATTTGGTGATATGATGAAATAACTTTGATGCTGCCGAGTTCCAGTTAAGGAATTGTTAAGGGAAGTATAAAAATAACACTGTTTGTGGGTCCAAGATATTGTTGTGTTCTGGGCGCCAACAGATTACAGATTGCCCCGGAGGGGGCTAGTTTATTGGGCACCCCCTTACATCCTGTGCAAGGTGAAGCGCAGAAGCGTTTACAGTGCCCAACTGGGAAGCATGCGGAGTTCATGCTTGCCTTTATGACTCAAGCATTAAGGGCGTGGAAGCCTGAAGAGTCATGGGTTTTGTCAGCAAGTTACATAACGTGACAGATCTGGGTGCCAACGGAGAAAATTTAAGAGTTGGGGTCATGGAGTATTAGTAGAGGCGTACTCTGTTAAGCCTCACCAAGATTCCGTACTGTGGGTGATAGCGGTTAGTAACACTGTTCCCAGGTGTGTGGTACAACGTAAGAATTTGAAGATTCCAACACAAAGTTCTTCTTCGTTTTAAGACGAGAGACAATCTAAAAATAGTGTCGTGGGTATGAGGGCACATGCGTGGCCAGGAGCCATAAATGGCACAGGGGCAGGCTGGCGCCCGACCCCCTCAGTAGCAACCCAACTATCATCCTGGTGCCACCACCGTCGCCGGCACCGCCACATGATTTCACACGTACTCCCGTTACTCCAGAGTTTGGCACTCGACTCTGATGTTCCTCTCTGCCCTGTCAAAAGTGTAGAAAAAAGTGAGAAGTGTTGTTAAGTGAGTGTCGTGGTGGTAAGGTGGAGCAGGAGTTTGAAGGTCCCGCGCGGGCCTAGCCAGGCTTGGCGCTCTGCCACCAGTTGGCGCTGACGTCGCCCCACTGCAGAGTGTAAACAGTGTTGGAAACATGGACTCCACCTCTGGTAGTGTCACGCCAAGCTCAAATTGCTCTCATTCCTCCCCGGTAGATAGTGTTAACAATAATACAATGCAAAATGGGATTTCTAGCCCCTCAGGTGATTCAGAAGATGCGGAAGAAATGGAAAATGTCGATAACAGTGGTGGAAATAGAACCTCAGTGAGTGGTAGGATAACCGTCGGTAGTGTTGGTAACGTTAGTGTCACATCAGCTGACCCAGACAGCAATGCGAACTCAGCTGTTACCGTCCAAAATGACCCGGACGTTGACAGAGAACTTGAAGAACTAGCCAAACTTAGATGCCCAAGCGTAGCAACCGAGGTGGTAGCAGCTCGGTACAAGCGAAGATGCTCAGATTACCCGGGATTTGCGTTCGGGTCCTCAATATTCAGTTCGAATACAATGATGAAGTTCAGCATTATAAAGAACGAACTGCACAACATCATGAATGTGCAGTTGAAAAGGGTTAGTATAAATATCCATGCGTGGTTGTCTTGGCAACGTGCAGGCTGTGGTCTCTTACGACAAGATTCACATTAACCAATCATATTCACTGCCAAACTATACTGTGTAAACTATTTAGTATACACATTTCTCGCTTAATAACCGACTGTCAGAGCTTTTAAATGCGACGCTCAAGAACAAATTAAAGTACCTATATGTGTTCATGATCATTTAGGGTAGAGGATACTGTTGACAAAAATTAACGTAGATTTAACATATGGCATCGAAGCCCCTGGCGACCACAGCCCGTAGAGTTGCATCATCACAGCCGTACTGAGTCACCTACTTATGTGTGTGTGTGCTCGTACTTACAGTATATGTGTACGTACATATACATACATCCATGCATACTTACAAGTTACACATACATACTTTTACTTATACACATACGTTTACCCATGCACATATTTATTCATACATTTACTCGTGCACACATACATTTACCCATACAGACATACATACATTCACTCATACACGTATACATTTATTTATACACACATACATACAATTACTCATACATACATTTACTTATACACACACACTTACATTCACTCATACATACATACATCTACTTATACACACACATACATTTACTCATACATACATACACACATACATTTACTCACACACACATTTACTCATACACACATTTACTCATACACCCATTTACTCATACACACGAACATTACTCATACACCCATTTACTCATACACACGAACATTACTCATACACCCATTTACTCATACAAAAATATTTACTCACACATACACATTTATTCACACCCATTTACTCATACACACGAACATTACTCATACACACATTTACTCATACACACGAACATTACTCATACACACATTTACTCATACACACGAACATTACTCATACACCCATTTACTCATACAAAAATATTTACTCACACATACACATTTATTCACACACACATTTACTCATACACACATTTACTCATACACCCATTTACTCATACACCCATTTACTCATACAAAAACATTTACTCACACATACACATTTATTCACACACATTTACTCATGCACATACTGTACATTTACTCACACATACGTTTACACATACACATACATTTACTCACATACATTTATCCAAACCCACATTTGCTCATGCACATATATTTACTCTTACAGTTACTCATACACTGTATACACCTTTGCATACACACGCGTTTACACATACACGCTTATACACATAAATTTACTCATTTAGCCTTGCACCCGTACTCATACACATACTTTTCACTAACAAGACATTCAATCACACATACTTTTACTCATACACAGATTTACCTATGTACACATTTACTTTACATTTCTAAGATACAAAGAATGTATTGTGTGCTTCCGTCTGTTATAATGTTTATATACTTACATGTACACAGAGAAAAGATATAATAATAATAATAATAATGAGGCAAGAAAGGTGGACGAGGTTTTATAGTGAACGCAATCTATAATGACGGAAATGAGTTGGGGGGAGGTACTTCCCGGAACAGCTCCCCCTTCAACCCACCCGCATCTATTTCATAGTAAAGTCTCAAGGTTCACCCCAGTGAGTGGCTCAAGGGAGATAATAATGATAGTTCTTAAAAAAAAAATAGTAAGTTTAAAAATATATACCTGATAGCGTTTTGTTGAACCAGTAGATACCGTACGTTACAGTAAAGAAATTCAACAAATTATGAACTGAACTTTGTGTGACTGTACTCGCGTTGAAATTTTATTGATCGATTCGTCTCGATAAAAACAAAATACTTTATAATTTTCAAGTATATAATGGTTATAATAACATGCAGGAAAGGGTATATACCTTCGTGTTCACAATAAGTAAATGTTGACCCTAAAGTTAACAGGATGAATTTATTGATCACAACCAAAATGTTATAGTTATTGTAATATTACAACCAGTGGTAACAGGTTGCAATAAATCAATGTTAGGTGAGTAGTGTAGTTTGCGGAAGGGGGAGATAAAAGCTGTACGGTTATCAAGGGTGGGAGCGTGAGTCATCGGCCTGGCATCTGGGCACACACCCTCGTGCAGGTGCTTTCCTAACTCTCAAAATCTAGAAATTTAAACGTAGATGTAAGATCTTTTGTGCTTTTGATGCCTTGGAAGTAATTTTGAGTTGTGTGGCCAAGCTAGGGTGATGTTAAAGGTAGGTTGATGAAGGTGGAGGGCGGCGTGAGGGATGTCATCTTGTGGAGATATTGTGTCAAGGTTCCTACTTAGACGCCAAAACTTAGGCTGGAGACGACGGCAAATCTCCGATTTAATCTCTATATTAGCTCTTGTTTGTAAATTTCATTTGGGAACATTACATGTGTATATGATAGTTCAATCTGTATGAAACACCTTTGCATCGAGTACTGAAAACAATTAAAATATTAGAGTTAAAATACTAACTGGCAAGCTCAAAGTACCTGCCTTCTTATAGCGCATGCGCAGTGGACGTTCATCTGTCTTGTTTAGTTAGGCCTTCTTTGTTTAAAAAGTGTATTTAAGAACTCTTTAGAAGCAACTGATGTACTTAAATAAGTAAAACATTGTTTCGTATTCAATAATTGACGGGAGATATTAAAGATGAAGACAGACTGTGGCACCCACACTTCTCCAACTGGGTATGGGCGCCGGACCGATGACGTCACTTGGGTGTACGAAGACAAATTCTCTAAAAGAATTACCTGGATTACTAACTACACTCGCATTTGCTTACCTCATACTTTAGCCTTATCATTGAAACTTGCGTTATTTAGTTTAAACTCTTTTAAAAAATGATACATGTTATCAGTACAATTATAGTGATAAGTTTATCCGGTTTGCTGGTCTCCTAGATGAGTCCTTATAAGGCAGACGTCCCAGCCAAGACTTTCTCTGGCAGGATGTTGGCAGGATTTTTCACCTGATCGAATATTACGCAAAGTCACGGATATGGGCGGATATAATATTGTTATAAAATTTCTTTACATTTTACTCAGCTATTAAAGGGTTGATGTAGAGGATTTTAAACTTAAGGTAAATGTAGCCTACGCAGGCCTACTCCAATAATATCAAAACAACGTTTTTGGTTAGATTTAAAACTTCTTTTCTGTTGTATCTTCAAACAAATTATTATTGTTTTTGTATATAACACTCTTCTCTTCTATGGTTAAACCTTTAATATGTTCTCGCAGCAAACTGGTAACGTTTTTGTAATTGGCGCCTACTGTACCCTTTACACCGGCTTTTTCATTAATGAATCGTTTATTACCTTTAATAGTGTTGATTTTAGTCTGTATTTGAAACTTTGTTTTGGAATATTTACTGTCAGCCGTCGTTTGTTGACCATAATCGACATAGATGACACCACACATCATTTGAAGTAAAGGTGAACAAAATGACTCAGGTGGGCTCCGTCTGACAGACAACGCGGAGGGATTCAAACTTTTACTCATCTTATGAGGTCAATCGTGTTAGTTTTGGGAGGAAATTCACTCCAACTGTAATATAATTATGACTCAGGACTAAATACTATCGTACTTCATATTTAGAGATAGGAAGAATGACAACAGATGTCAAATTGTTAGTAGAGGTTATGAGGGTGTGGAGGTACTAGTTGGGTGGGCGGAGTTATCACAAGGTTGCGCGGTCGAGTAGAGAGCTCCAGCACAGAAACTCCATCGAGTCAGTGTGATTGCCGAGTTGGGCGAAGTGACAGCATTTTGTGATAGTTCTGTGAAGATGACAACCATTGGCAAAGGAGCAGATCTGATGGAGGTCCTTAAAAAGAAAATGCGCCAGGCCAAGGAAGATACTGAGCGCCTTAAGGATGAAAACGAGGAAATATCCCGGAAACTTCAAATAGAAATTCAGAGGAGAGAAGCCGTAAGTGTCTCAACCCGAGATAGTGGATGCAGGTTGTCAGCAGTGGTTTATTTATTAAACTTCAGCCATCTATCGTCAAGTCTTCCGTAGTTATACATACACTGGGAGAATGGAATAGCTTACAAGGAAACAAGTTTTATGTGGGGGAGCGTCGGTTGGCTAGACTGGAGGGAGGGAGTGGGTGTGTTCCCCGCTCGATATTACCACAACCACCACCGGTCTCCCCCCCACACCTCACCCTCTCTCACTCCTCCACCTCACTCATGAACATCCATAATACATCCTTGTGTTGGGTGTCAGAAACATTTAACATTGTTATGCATCGCCTTCATCTCCATTAGGTCTTACACTTTAAAACAAATACTATAATTCCACTCATGACATACACATTATGTATCTCAACGTTCAGGGAGTCTTGAGTGAATTTATTGCAAATATTATTAAAGATGTCAAAATCAGCTGATTTATAGACGTCAGATCCTAATATGTTGTAAGGGTGAGTGTTGGAGGCGGTGGTATTGTGGGAGTTTGGGTTGCCAGGTGTGTAATGCTGCTTATTATTCGTGCAGGTGTTCCCTTGGCCACGCTCACAAGATATTCACCTTACAGTTATCACAAGCGACGCTCATTTTTTTTTTAGTTTAAAATCTGTTGGAGAGTTATTTTATTGGAGTGAATAAAGTTGAAATATTGGCAGTAAGATTGTTGGGGTAAATAGAGTCAGTCAGCGGGTCGCATACCTCTGTTAACGCTGCATAAACAGAAAACTGGAGCCGTTGTCGTGAATGCAACGAGAACGTGGCCGGCAGATCCTGGTCATGGAGGACCTGCACCAGGATCTACACATCCTTTTTTTCACTCTAAATGGCCTCTTTACCGGTTCATATCTGGCCCGGTTATTTTTTGCAACAGGAATGTGTAAAAGGAACCTTTACTGTTGATCCCAAAACTATGTATATTAGTCAGCTTAGATGTTAAAAGTTAGCACCACGCTGATTTTTGGGCCCATACCGACACTAAAAGACCAATATGAACTTCCTCATCCGCGAAAAAGGCTATGTTCTTGATCAAA